GTAGGGAAATAACCAAGACCTAATAACACTGCAAAAGTCATTATCTCTAAAGTTTAAAGAAATGCGATTATGATATATTTACATTTTATTTCTCATGCATACTTGTACCTGTTGTCGTGTCTTGTTGGAAAAAATAATAGCGGAACCTCCTTCTTCTACTTTAGGGTAGTCGGGAAATGTGCCCGTTAAGCCCCTGAGGAGCAGAAAAGGCAGAATGAACATCCGTGAGCACAGCCCTCTCTGCTGCATTCCCCACTAGCTGGCTCTGGTCAAGTTCACTGAAATGAGTGATAGTTATTAGGAGAGGGGCCCCCTGCCAGTTGCTGGCCCGACATCCGGTCTCTAAGAAGCAGAAGGACCTGGTGACATTCAGGAACAGGTTTCCTTCCTCAAGGCAGTTGTGACTGTGAGACAGACACACCTCTCTTTGAAGCAGATTGTAATCTTCTGCCTTTTTTTCCCCTTTTTAATTACTGAGATACTCTGTGCTTGCGTTAAAAATGAAAAGACAGAAGCACAAACTATTTCTTCCTGTTTGAAATTTAGGATAAACACAGGATTTTGACATAAAACAGAAGCATGGCATTGTTCGAATTACAGATTTAGGACTAGTGCATGAAATACGCATGCACGCTTTAGATTTTAGCGAGTCTAAGGCCCCGTATGTTAAGAGTTCCGAATAGTAATTTTTTTTTCCTGTAACCATATAGTTTCTAGGTTTTAAAATGCAGACTTTGAAATTTAATGTTGAGGGATTTCAGAAGGGAAATGAAGTTAATTTTTCCAAGAGAAACTGACTTGGATACGAGTGTTATATTTATTCCACATATAGAAAGAAAAAACGACCAAGTTAGTTCCATTAATCCACAGAAGAACAGAATCTGAGGGTTAGAGGAGATGCCCATGCTCCAGATGACTCTGTAACAGCAGTTCTCAAACTTCTGGCCTTATTTGCTCTTGACACCCTTGACAATTTTTGATGATCCCCAAAAGTTTTTGTTTATGTGAGTTCTAGCTATTGATATTTACTGTATTAAACATTAAACCTGACACATTTCTAAAATATGCATTTTCATTAAAAAATAACAATGGTCTGTGTCTTTATTCCTGTTTTACCCCTAGGTTCTTCATAACATTTTTTTTTTCTTAAATTCCATATTTGCATACCGGCTTGGTGCTTTGTGACTGCCTGGAGGGGTGGGATAGGGAGGGTGGGAGGGAGGGAGATGCAGAGGGTAGAGATATGGGAACGTATGTATATGTATAACTGATTCACTTTGTTATAAAGCAGAAACTAACACACCATTGTAAAGCAATTATACCGCAATAAAGATGTTAAAAAAAAAATCACTTGATGACTGCCTGAAAAAAAAAAAAAAAAGAATACTAAAAAAATAAAATAAAATACGCTACAGAAAGAGTTGACATACTACTACAGCTCATGAGCCCACTGCATGTTTTTGTTTTGTTTTGCTTTGTTTTTCCACTGCCTGTTTTATGAATAAAGTTTTATTGGAACACAGCTACAAAAAAAAAAAACAATAAGAGGCCCGTTAGGTGTTCACATCAACAAAATTTTTAATGAAGAATGTATTTCCCAGAACAAAAAATATTAGTGAGAACAGTGTTACTGTTCTGGCTTAATGGAAGTTAGCAGGATGCTTATATCTGCTTCTGTATTCAATCTGTTAACAATACGTTGTTTTGGTCGAAGTATAGAAAGAAAATCTGGCCTCACACGATGTGTAATTGGAAAAGAGAAGAGAGTTTTAATCGCCTTTTAGACAGCTGTGAATATTCTGCTTTGATTCTACAGCACAACTTGACAAGTGGTAGCTTCCCAAAGGCTGGTGGTGATGTGGAATCTGAAAGCATGTCAAGAACTTTCCCTTCCCTGTCACATCAAAACCCATGTGCCTCTGCATTGAATAGGTCTTTCACCCCAAAATGACTTTGTGACATGATTTTGTAACATCTCGGTCACTTCAAAACTAATGATTCATTGACTTATGTGGCTCTTCCCAATGCTATACACATTTCACCGTACCAAAAATCACGTTCATTAATAACGCCACCAATCTCATACCCCGAAGCTAAGTAACGAGAAGCTCTCAGACTCACAGAGGTGACTACAAGGTTTCCAAAACTGTAATTCTCGCTAGAAAGCTTGGATTTTATTATTAGCAACAAATGCCCTCAGTTGTTTTCCTTCAGGCTCACTTGGTTCATTTTTGAGAAAATGTTGCCCCAAACCTGAGTCTGAATAGCCAGAGCGTCAGTCGTTTTCTCAAGGAAAAATGAGGTTCCAGAAAAAGTGTCTGGTTCAGTCTGAAGCTGGACAGGTGGCAGGTGCCCATGCTGAGCGGCCCTCATACTTTGGGGTGCAGCAGAAGGCAGCCACCTCACCTCCAGGTTCCTCACGTACAATTTTGAAAAGCTATGTATTTAAGGGTTGAGTCTTACAATTATTGTTTACGGTGTCCTCAAGGATATTGTTAAAGGAACTTTTGAAAAAGGCAGGTGCGTGACAGTGAAAACTGCGATGAGTCTGAATTGGGTCTGAATTGGGGTCACTGCGTTGGGTAGAGGTCGGCAGCCAGCACCTCCCTAACCGTCCCCACCACAGGGCGTTGGCCCCATGCCTTTCACAGACTGTTTCTCAAACATCTTAGGACAGTTACATCACTGTCTGGACAAAAATCTCTTAGGTCTCTTGAAACTCTCCTATGGGCTCATTCAGCAGGCACGTGACTCAGCTCCTCAGTATTGCTTTGAAAGGAACTGGACACAGTGCACTGCCTGGGGGTGGGGGTGGGGTTCTATGGACATATGCACCAGCAGTGGGGAAGTCGGGTGGTCACACACTACGTGTGCCACTCTGTCAATGGAGCTACCATGACTGCAGCTACTTGAGCGGCCTCGTGCACTCATCCATCCATCCATCCATCCATCCAACCATCCATCCATCCTTCTAGGCAACCATCCATTCAGGCACATAGTCAATCAACAAACATCTATGTAGTACCAACTAGATTCTGGATGTTGCAATGGAAGACAGTGATCTGAAGGTTAAAAGATGTCAGACCTCGTCCTCATGCAGCTTACACTCCACAACCACAGGGCTGATGCATAGATTTGGCCCCAGATCCTGCTTGTCTACGAGACTCATATCTCAAACCTTGTTAACTTGCCTGACGGAGTTCTGTCTTATGTGTGCATCATTCAGCCTACACGATCTTGGATAAAAACCAGAAATACAACTGAATTAAAAGTTAGGGCACTTTCCCTTCTTCACACCCACTCACCTTATTTCTTTGACAACCAACTTCACAAGCAATTCCATTGTAAAGTGTCATGTTTCATTGTAAAGCTTGAGTGTTTTTGAGGACTCAAAACAAATACTTTTAAAACATAAGTCACGTTGTGCCGTTTCTCTGCTCCAAGTTTGCCGAAACTCTCCCTCCAAATGAAATCAACGCCCACATAATCAGGTTAACCTATGGCCCGCTTTCCTGGGGACAGGCCCAGTTATGCATAATTAACAACAGCACCCCCTTTCATTCTTACAAGTCTCCTGGTTTGGATGGTGATTGACCAGGTTCCTGCACTTACTGCGGCTTCCCTGGTACTGCCCTGCTGCCTTCCTGCCTTCCCCCACCTTCTCATCATTCCAGTTGCTCTCCATCCACCCCGATGCTCCCTGCTCAGAGAGATGTTCACATTCCGAGAGAAAACACACACACCCACTCGCTTTAAGGTTTTGCTCAAATGTCATCATATCACAGAGGCCTTCCCTGACTACCTTGCATAAAGTACATGTCTGACCAAATAAAATAGGTTCCCTCTTATCTCACAACCAAAGGTCTTGCTGAGGGATGTGCATTTGGGATGGAGAAGAGAGGGGATGTTAAGTTGTTTCTGGGTGATTACCCCAGTTTCTCTTTGTAGCTTGGAATGTACTTTCATAGACGCGGGAATTCTTTTCTACTTAAAGGAAATGTTAACACAAAATCCTCTGCAAAATCATTACATGGTAAAAGATCCTGACGTGGTACGTGGTCATTATTTAAATCACAGCTTTCCCTCAATTATAGCTTGAATTTTAACTCCACAGACATTTGATTACCTTTGAACTTTCATCGTCTGGCTGATTTTCAAAGTTAACGTGCAGGCGTGTGCTAGTATCCTCCCTCCTGCGCCACTCCCTCCCCCGGCGCGCCACCAACTAATTTCCATTTGCCCTCAAATTGCTGCAATAGGCAAGGCCAAAGCAGGTTCTTCAAATGGGCAACCAAACCATTGGATGGACCACGTGATGCAGAAAATGGATCTCATCACATGGCTGCATGAAAAATCACCTGAACTATATACATTTCACCTGCATCTACAGAACAGGAGAAACGAGAAAGGTGAAAAACCACCCAAGAACACAAAGTTTGAGAAAGGGATCTGGAACTTGACAAGACAGGATTTACCAGATATTTCTGCACTCCTAGTCACCATTTAGTTACCACCAAGCACGTGCTGGCACGTCTCATGGGGATTACATTTTTTTTCTAAAAGCAAGAATTCAACTTTTTGGAACAATATTTAATTAGTATTAAGTATAATTTCCAAAAGATAAACTTCCAGGTACTCATTAAATCCCTTCCCTAAAAAGTATTTAGGAAGAGCAGTTCTCCTGGGTTCCCTTACCCTGATGCTCTCCACCCGGGCACCCCTTCCCATTAAAGTCTTTTGCTTTGTCAGTTAAAAAATAAAATAAAGTAAAATAAAACAGTAAAATAAAAGTATTTAGGAAAATTTTAATAGGAATGCTGAATATGAAATATATTATTTGTCAAACTTTAGATTTATCAACAAACTAGAGATTGTTGAATATCTTTCAAAAACAAGTGACACCTCCCTACCACTAAATTTGGATCTCCCCTGGAAACTTACAAAAGAAAGAAGCTGAGAAGCCACCAAGCCCCCCTCCCCACCAGAGATTTAGCCCTCTAAGTGATGGCACATGGCAGTTGCTCCAGGGTTGGAAAGCTCTAGTAATCTGACATTTCTTCCAGCTTCTTCTCTTGATACCAATCTTAGTTACTGACTCAGAAAGCATCCCATCCACATTTTATGATCAAAGTTATCTAGGATAACGGCCTCCAAGTCCACGGCTCTTAAGTGGGACCTGCACCATCTCTCCCC